AGGAGGAGGAGGGCAGTTACCATGGCTCAGCTTGTGGGAATGGCTCTGAAGGGAAGAAAAAAGTTAAAGATGTGGGGTTTGGCCAGGTGTTAGGGTAAAAGGCAAACTCTTTAGCTGTGTTATATTTAAAAAGAAAGGGGACAGTGGGACAATATCGTTTGAATTGGACATGGAGAGCTAGTTCGAAATAACAGGAGGAAGCTAAGAACAGTTTGTGCCAGGCATCACAGTAAAAAGGTTCCTGCCTATGAAATACATTCAGTTGAGAAATAAACTCAGAAGGGAAGTGGAAGAAGCCCCATCATTTGGAATCCAGTAACAGGAGTAGACAAAGCACTCGAAAGTGCACTGCAGGGAACAGTCTTTTTTTGGCAGGGAGCAAGACTTGGATGACCTAATAGCTTCTTTCCATCTCTGTTAGAATCACAGAATCCAAAGTCTTTCTCAGAGCAACAGCACAGCCGGCTTTGAAAGTTTGCCCAGTTTTGGCATCCTAACGTTGGTTAGTGCCACTCTGCACACTCCAGCCCCTGCAGATTCCCAAAGCAATAGTTAATAGCTCTGCTGACAAACTCTCTAATTAGTGTGAAGTACTAGCAAATGTAGAATATATTTTGGAGAGTTTTCACCCCCAAACAGACCAGATCTGAAAAGGTACATACACAAAATTTGCAGTTTCATGTAAGATAGTTGGGCAGAAAGACATTGTTTCTGTGTTTCGATATCTCCTTTGCTGCACACTGATTACAGTGCCAGTTAGTTCTAGCTTCCCAGTTTGCGTTCTGAAGTCTGATTTCAGTCCTACTTTTCTATGGTGTTTGATTTAAAGGAGGTGAAATTTGTGCAATGTATTAAATTATAACAAGAAAAGAAGTTTAGCACATACTGATGTTGTAGTTTCAATCCCTATTAAATTCCAGTAGCCAAACTTTGAAATGTAGCAGCTTTCTCAACTGTACAGCTCTAGTTAAAGACTTTTTTTAAGAAAAAAATACTAATTCTTAGGAATGGGTGAAGAAAATTCTAAAAGTTATACTGCCTTATACTATACTCTGTAAATACTACAGATTCATTGCATACGGTTGTTGCTTTTAGCTTTGTAACAGTGCAATGATTCTTAAACATCTTCTGCCTCTCCCTTTCAGTGAGACCTTTTGGTGGGAGAGATATTCCATGTCTCCTCTACATTAGGTCACTCATATTTTCCCTCTCAGCTTGGCTGCAAACCAGCAGAAGGTGCAAAAGTAGCTTTCATGCCTAAGGGCAGGGTTTTTCTCACATCCACTTGATTTCAGGCTCTTTACCCAGGCTGGCTCTGCTGCCGTGTTCTCCTCTGCCCCCTTCCCAACACATCTCAAAGGCAACAAAAAGCAGTGGGAAGGCTGTGTGCTCACTTTGTAAAAAAAATGTTTTCATTCTCAACAAAGAATGGCTGAAGCACTGCAGAGAAACATGACTTGTCTTTTCTGGACCTCTGCTTGATTATTTGTGAATTTGGAGAAGGTTTACTAACATTGTCCTAAGAAGGCTGTAAGGAGCCATGGGTTTCTTTGCCAGCATCACCTGGGTAATTCAGGGGTGTTGATATTCAAGGGTCCAGTGGGCCCTGTGCTCTGCCTTTTTACCTTGCCTGCCAGACCAGCCTTGGTAGTGATGCTGCTCATTCGAGAGAAGAAATTTTCAATTGTGTCTGCTGTCTGTGTTTGTCAGTGGAAAAAAGGAAATCTCTTGCGGAAGAGTGGGAAGAATTGAATTATTTTATGCTGAGGCACAGTAGAACTCATTTTAAAAAATATTGCTTAATGTCCATAATTTATTCACAGTACTAGTCCCAGTAGAATTAATAAGACTATTAAGTATGCACATAGGAGTCAGTAACATCAGAATCTAATGTTTTACTTCTATTTTTTTTGAAATCTCTTTGTGGCAAAATATCTTTTATTATTCCAAAGTTGTTAGAGGTTTAACAGCATGTTCCCAAATGGATTGTGAGCTCAGCAGAAACTTTTTAAAAGGGAGTCCAAGTTTTTGAGTGCTAACAGGGCCCTTGCAGAAAACCTCCAGGAAATGCTGTTTCTATGTTTACTGTGTTGCCGTGATAACTCTGTAGGGATGTGAGGCAGAAAGCACAGAGTGGGAGAGGTTTAACAGAATTCAAAACTGAGAAATTGCACCTTCTAGATCGTCACGTGTTAAAAAATCAGACGAGGTTAAAGGAAATAGGTGGAGAAGGGAAATAGAAGAAAATGCTGGTGATAATAAGAACAAGGTGGGAGGCACCGATGCTGAAAGCAAAGAGGAAAAAGATGGTCAGATTTACGAATGTTGGTTCTTTTCCAGTAGTCACTTCATTGACTATTGAATGTGTAACTTTATTATATGTGATTTCTGCTAGGCCTAGAGTTCAGCAACACTTCATTGAGGCATGTCTTAATAATGGGAAAGGAGCAATGGCCAACAGAATCTCTGGGCAGCTGGACAGCTCTGGCGTACTCTTTTCCTGCCCCAGAGTTTTATTGCTACTGGTATCCAAATAAAATTATTTTTAAACCAGTCTTAGATTCAAATAAAGTATTTCCTGACTTTGTTACAGCATCTTTCTTACCACTGCATATGGCTGAGGTCTTTTCAATTGTCTTTTTTAAGACGAAGTCTATTTGATAAATGTTGGTAAATAATGAATTAGCTAACTCTGTCTGTTAAAGGAGATACCAAGTGGTTGAGACAATGACTAGTTCTTCTAAGAACAGCTATTTGTCTGCAAATATATATCTAAAGACTGGAGATATCAGTTGTTTGGAAGAACTCAGTTAAAGGCATTTTGTATTTCTACACTAATAAGGGTTTTACAGAACAAAGATACATATAAAAAGGCAGAAATATAAGCATTGTTAACAACTGCTTTTTGTAATATGTGATTTTTTTTCAATATGCACAGAGTTATTTTTAAAGCCTTTGCTACCTACTTCCAAATTCCATGGTTTAGCTTGCCATTTGAACAGCAATGCCAGCGTGACTTACATAGACATATCCTTTACTGAATAGCATTAATTTATCCTTGCACGTACACCTGATAGTGAAGGTCCTGTGACCTGGGTTTCTGCTGTCTGTGTCTGTGTCCCTGGTTGAACAGATGGCTGTTGTAGCTTCACTGCTTTTGCTGTGAATCCAGTGGTGACCCTACTGCTCTTCAGCTGATGGGAAGCTCAACAGAAAATGATGTTGTAAATGTGGGCGCGTGTGTATGCCTGTAACACAGCAGAGGTTTAAGAGAGCAATACAGTGTAAAACAAGGACAATACATAATTAAAGGTAACACACAGAAGTAGTAATTAAGGCAGCGGACTCTGGGAATTTTGTGGCAGTGGAACAAACTCTGGAAGGTGGTTCCTGTTACATCCCTTGCAGGAGAGCAGGTCAGACTGCAGCTTCCTAGCTGTGCCTGCTCCAGGCAGTGCTCTTTGTAGGGCGCTTTACATCCTTTTCCTCTCAGAATGACTTGGAAAATCAGTCTGAAATTGCTGTGTGTTTGGGTTGTATCACTTGCTGCTAATGCAAGGAACTGTTCTGCGCTGCCTCAGGGGCTTAGCCCTGCCCCATACATCAAGGTTGAGAGACTTCCCAGAACTGCAGATAAAACTTTATACTCTGTTCCTGCCTTGACCTCGACAGTCCCATCTTTTATAGAAGACTTTTGGAGCAAAGAAACAGTAAAAAAAAGAGATCTTTTTCCAACTCCTTTATGTTTAGGGGCTGAACTTGCCAAAGCTTTGTTCTTCTCCAAAGAGACCTCTAGCTGAGGTCTCTGTGTCTCATCCCTCCTTTCTCAAACTGAGCACTGCAGTACTCTCTGTAAAAAGACCTCAAAATAGTCTGAAGAAGATCTATCATGAGTGTCCCTAACAGACTGCAGTTTTATGATCAGTTCTAACCAGACCCAGTTCTCCACCCATCTACTCCTAGCTATGTCTTCCTCTCTTCTGATGTTTCATCTTTACAGAGTTACATTTTGGGCATCTTCTGTTGTTTTCTTTCTAATAACAGAGCTGAAGGGAGGAAAGGGGTAAGAATGGCTCTTTTGACAGAGTTCCAGATTGGTTAAGTGGATTATGAAAAATTTTCAGGATTGGGAAGTTTAAGGTTTTAATGGGCTGTTAGAGCTTTTAAGTTATCTCACTTAGGATACAGGAATAATCAAATTGTCTTCACCATCTACTGGCTGAGATCATCAGTTATTTTAGGACTTTAAAGTCTCTTTCATTCTAACCTGCTTAGTACTTTTCTAAGGTTAAATGAGGAATTTGCTTCCAGACCATCATACCACTGAAGGAGAGCTGCCATTCCTGTTCCTTTAGTGGGAAAATAAGTTATCTAAGAAAGGAAGAGGAAGGACCAGAAAGTCTCACTCAGAGAAGGGGTCTGACCTTAGCAGTAATAACATTTTTCATTAAATGGTTGTTTTTTGTTATTAGAATGTTTTGTCAACCACTGTCCATTGAAAATAATTAAAAGATTGAAAATGCAGATTTCAAGCTGAGGCTGGATTATGAGCTATTTCAATATGACTTTGATTTTAACTGTTAGTTGTGGAATGTGGTTGCTCACTCAGCTCACATGCTTTTGTGTCTGTGCCCTGGCATTTATGATGTTCTTGTGGGAAATCAATATTTTAGATCTCTCTTGTTGTGAATAAATTTGTGCATGGAATTCCTTTTACAAAAGTCTATCAAAAACAAATAAAAGGCACCAACTACATTTGAAGAATTTAATATTGAAGAAAATGTTTACACATGCCTTTTTTTCATTATTTTCCCAGCCATAAGTCTTGACTAAGATTAAATATTGGGCTTGATTACATTATACAGGATATAAGCTTCATCTGTTCCAAAAATAACATTAATCTCTGTGACCATTAACCATTCTTTTTAGAAATAAATGTTAATGAAAAGTAAACAAACACAACCATGTATTATGCATATTATTTTGCATGTGTTTTACAGAGTTCGTTTAGTCGAAAGAGGATCTCCACATAGTTTGCCCCTCATGGAGTCAGGAAAAGTAAGTACTGAAAGAATATTTAAACGTACCTTTTATGGTAAATATTTTCCATAAATTCCCATTTCTGTTCATTTTCATGTGAATAGAGTTGAGGAAGGCTTTATCAGCTGTGCAGACTGAACACCTTTCTTTACCATTGAGGTTACAGCACGATGGCAGTAGCTGATTCATTACCGCTCTCTCAGAAGCTGTACTTCCCTCTTTTATGCAAAAAAATAATTTCCTTCTTTTATGCAAAAAGAAGGTATTTCATCCTCCACATCTCACTCTTGAAACTTGAAATTTGCCACTAGTGAAGGCAGTTTTATCGATGTAGACCCACCTCCACTGAGGACTGGTCTGAGAGTACCAACACTGTACTCACGGGCTACTGATCACCTGAAGAGGGACTGTCCCTGGTGGGTGGCATCGCTGTGGGGACAGGGTGAGGGCACAGGACTGGCACGAAGAGATAGCAGTGCTGCTCTCAGCTTTGTCTCTGGCTGCACTCTCTGGCCATGCTCCAGTGACCGAGGTCTCCTGTAAGCATGCTCTGCCTTTGGGAGAAAGGAGAGGTGCCATCTCTGCTGCGCTGAGGCACTCCCTGCTCACTGACTGCCCTTGACACTGTGGACGCTCATCGAAAGCTTTCTGACCATAGTTTTGCAAACACTCACGGTCAGAGGATGCTCCCTTTTCAGTTTTAGGATTTAACATCTGCCCATCTGTAGTGGTTGAATGTCCATTACATGAAGTCATTGTGAGGACCTTGTTCTGGGGAGTTTGCATGGTGCCTCTGGCTTTCTTTCTGTTTCAGGCTGAAGTTTCATCTGGCTAGCGATTTTTTTCCTGATCTAGTATGTACTGTCAGAGAGACTTGGGCCATTTGGTAGGATTTTTGTATTGTAGGCAAACATTTGATTTCTGAGGAGTTCTTAACGATGGAGCAGCTTTCACAACAACAAGAGGTTTTGTAGCATTTCCCAGATATCTCAAAATTTATTACAGCCATGGACTATGTTTAACATCTTTATCAATGACTGGTTGACATCTTTGTCAGTGATCTGGATGAGGGGATCAAGTGCACCCTCAGTAGGTTTGCAGACGACATCAAGCTGGGTGGAAGTGTTGATCTGCTTGAGGGTAGGGAGGCTCTGCAGAGGGATCTGGACAGACTAGATTGATGGGCCAGGACCAATTGCATAAGTTTCAATGAGGCCAAATGCCATGTTCTGCACTTTGTCCACAGCAACCCCCAGCAGTGCTACAGGCTAGGGAAGGAGTGGCTGGAGAGCTGCTCTGCAGAGAGGGACCTGGAGGTGCCGACTGACAGCTGGCTGAGCCTGGGTCAGCAGTGTGCCCAGGTTGCCAAGAAGGCCAATGGTATCTTGGCCTGTATTAGGAGCAGTGTGACCAGTAGGACCAGGGAAGTTCTCTTAACCCTGTACTCGGCACTGGTGAGGCCGTACCTCGAGAACTGTGTCCAGTTTAGGGCCTCTCACTACAAGAAGGACATGGAGGTGCTAGAGTGTGTCCAGAGAAGGGCAATGAAGTTGGTGAAGCATCTGTAGTACAAGCCTTATGAGGAGCAGCTGAGAGAACTGGGATTGTTTAGCCGGAGAAAAGGAGGTTCAGTGGAGACCTTCTTGCTTCCTACAACTACCTGAAAGGATGGTGTAGTGAGGTGGGGGGTCCATCTGTTCAACCAAGTAACAAGCAATAGGACAAGAGGAAATGGCCTCAAGTTACACCAAGGGCAGTTTAGATTGGATCTGAGGAAGAATTTATTTACTGAAGGGGTTCTCAGGCATTGGAAGGGGTTGCCCAGGGCAGTGGTGGAGTCCCCATCCCTGGAGGGACTGAAGAGTCGTATGGACATAGCGCTGAGGGACATGGGTTAGTCGGGGACTTGTCAGTGTGATCTTAAAGGTCTTTTTCAATCCAGGCAATTCTATGATTCTGTGATTTTAATTTCTTATGTTATAAGTCTACTTCAACTTTTTAAGGATTTCTTCTGGTTTCTAATGAAGGTTTTTTGGGGACGAAGAGTCAGTATATGATTGCATAAGCCAGTATCTGATCTCTTACTGCCTTGTGTTTTCTTTCAATAGATCCTCCCAGGAGTACGTATCATTATTGCTAATCCAGAAACAAAGGGACCCTTAGGAGATTCTCATCTTGGTGAGGTGAGTCATGAAAACTTAACCTTTGTATGCTCTGAACCAAATTGCAGAGATAAAGCTATCATCATGCATGCCAGTGGACTCCTATAATACGTCTTATCAAATGCCCACTTAAGAAAATTGTGAATTCTACAGATCTTTATAGTTTATAAAATGTGTAGCACAATACTTGTATTGTTATTAAAGTTGTTAGTAACATACTTGATAAATACTACTAATAACTCAAGTTTGTTAAAAAATTGAAAAAAGCCTGCTTTTTCTAACTGTATTTTCTATTTGGTGCTTCAATAGTCCTGATGGAAACTTAGTTGAAAAAATAAGTTTATTGATTAGTCTAATTTCAGCTAGATGGTTTTCTAGTGCTATTCTCTTTATAATCATTGTGCTTCAACGCACTGAAGTACTCTCATTAGCTGAATTGAGCAAGGCTGTATGTTTTTCCAATTTACTTTATGTTTCTAGAGAGAGAAAAAAAAATTATTTTCAGTGAGCAATTAAAGATCTAATTTAAAAAATGAAGAATTTTCTTACCCATAATTAAAACTACTGTCTAATTTGTGAGTTTTATCTGTAAGATTTCATTACTGTAAAATCATAAAAAATTCCACAGTGCCTTGATTTAGATGAAATTAATCCTTCTCCAATGGTGAAGGTTCCTGGCCTCACCCTTTAAAACAGTCTATCTCTCCGGTGCGCGTGGAGGATGCCTTCCTGGAATAAATACACTGAACCAGGGCGGGGACTATGGAAAGAGCACTGTGGCCTACAGGTTCTTCTGAAAATTGCCATAACCAAGCAGACCTCAGCACTAACTGAGCTGTTCAAGGAGGCTGTGCAGGTCCTTGGCTAACCTGGGGCCAGAGGGCTGCAAGGCAGGTGTCCCCACAACCGTGAGTCTAGCATCCCTCTCCACCAGCCACGACTCAGATCCACACTCTGACTTCAGCAAGGTTAGACTGGGGTCTCTGTGCCTAAAGCTGGGTCAGTTAAAAAAAGAGTGTTCAAAGGCATTATAGCATTATCTAGCTATGACTAAAAAAACTTGCATTAAGAATTTTCAATAATGCTTCATTCTGGAAAGCTACTTTAATTAATACCATTATAATTGTTTTTAACTTAGATATGGGTTCACAGCACTCACAATGCCAGTGGGTATTTTACCATCTATGGAGATGAATCTTTGCAATCAGATCATTTTAACTCAAGACTCAGCTTTGGAGATACACAGACTATTTGGGCTCGAACTGGCTATCTGGGGTTCCTGAGAAGAACAGAACTCACAGATGCAAATGGAGGTAAGAGGTTTCTCGTCATCTCAGTCTTTGCACGTAGCTTGTATTATTTTGAGGCTGACACCATGTCTCTCGGCCTGCACCACACAACATGTTCAATCTGTGAAACCTGTAGAACTGCAAAAAAAAGCCTTAGTTAAAATAATCAGAAAATCAAACAGGGGGCAAAATTTT